GGGGAGAGGCTGTAATTTTACCCTAAAAGCCTTGCGTTCATTTCATAACGTTTGCCTCTCTGCAAAATAATCGAACTTTACAGGGGACATACAGGTTTGCTTGTAGAGTGGTGACAGACCAATCCTGTTCCAGTCAATTCATGGGGTTAGTGGAGCATTCGGTATCCCTACTTACAGTATCGTTTTATTTTGGTCCCTGTACTATTTGGTACCATTGTTGACATTTGAGATAAAGGAAAGGATCAATTGGATTACAAAAATAACATAAAATTGTCGTAGGAGGAAAAGGTAAGCAGAATAACATAAAATTGCATCGTTTATTGTAAAGAGACTACACGATGCCCAAGAACGTTTTCAACTGTGCTGAGGATCTTAGCAGAATGCGGTGAACGGAGATGGATAAAAGGTCATCTCACCTGCACAGGTTAGCTTACAATTGCAATAAAGGCATATACAGCTGATCAAGGTGCTCCAACCATTGCATAAAGGGTATTAATTTAATCATAGTTTTGGATAATTTCACAGCATCTGCACTCAACTACTCGTAAATTTAAAGAAAGAAAAATCAATTAGCAAGTAAGATTATACCTAAGTGGTGGAAAGAATTTGTTTTTTTTTAGTATCTAGGTTCGAGTCATCCTCGCGGTACATTACTTGTTCATTAGACTTGTAGGATGTTCAGTGGACTGTGGAATTAGTCGTGGTGCGCGTAAACTGAACCGAACACCCCACATAAATAAAAAAAAATCAATTGAAATAAGAGAAAAACTAAGACTCGTAAATTTCTCCTATTTTTTATTATTTATTATGTTTATGTTTGAAATTTTTTTTTTATTAGATATTAATCTAGTTAGTTAAACAAGTATTTCCCTCGTTATCATTATAGCTTGGACAAAAAAAACTTTGAAATATAAAAAATAATATTTAGATTGTAAAAAATATTTTAATATCAGAAATTATAATTTAACTTTTTGTACTTAAAACAAGTTTTAAATTGAATTGCAGAGTTTAAGGTAGTTGATATAGCATAGATTATTTTAAAAAAATATCGTTGTTCATCAATCTATAATTTGAATTATAAACTTTTTTAGATCAAATTAATTTTTATTTTGTTACATAATAAAAAAACAAGAAAATATATTTATTATTAATCCAATATTAAATAATAAAATTTAATAAAATTTTTACATTAAAAAAATAAAATTAAAAAAATATAAAATGCCCGGAAAAAAACCTTAAAGGGCCAATAAAAAAATAGTTCAAGACACGGCATAATATTTTATTTTTTTCGTTCATCCCTTCTATTTTTTTTTTAAAATTATGCAACCTAAAAGGAAATATTGTCGCCATTAAAATGATTAAAGAAATGTCTTTAATGAATACTTAAACTGACCTAGTTCTTTTACGTGTTTATAATTATCATCCAAGATTTGATATTTTAAAAAATACATTAAATGATCATATGATATAAAACCAAAATGATACATAAATATAACGAGACACAACCAAGTTCTGATAGATGGATGGTTGGTTTCCTTGAAACTAAAACCTCCATGACTAATACAACTTCTCAAAATCTCCGTAAATTTTTGTTTGTCAAAGAAATGTCTAACCAAAACGCTTGTAAATTGTGATTGTGATGTAAACGGTCAAAAGAATAATGTCAAAAGCTTTACTTAATATCTTAAATTCTTGTCTAAAATGGTTTTTTTACATGATATTTGATGATCAAAGCTCAAATCTCTGTTAAAACCTGAAAAACTTTCACCCAGTTTCTGCTATGGTACCGCAACTTTCTCATGTCCCAAGAAGGCGCGCGCGATGTTCTCCAAACGTCCAAGGCAAACTGAGCTTTCAATCGTGCAAAAGCCAACGTTTTCAGGTTGTTCCATCAATTGAGAAGTGGACTTGCAGAGATGTCAATGATCATGGCATTGCACATGATGTGCACGGTCCCACTTGGCATGGCGATGAAATAGTTCTTCACTCCTGGACTTAGCGTGGATTCAGCTTTGAAATCTCAAGTTTTGGCAGAGAGTTTTTGTAGAATGGGGCCAATTTCTGAGTGATCAAGTTTTTGTAGAATAGAGCTTCTCCATAAAATGCTTATACAACCTGTCCGATAACAGGGGATATTTTAGGTTTCCATCACTATCTTTGAAACCTGCAAATTTCAGTTTTTTCAACTTGACCCACCGATTGTGTAGGAGATCTTCATAAGTGTCAGAAATCCTTTTGCTATGCATGCTGTTTATGGTACCTCATAGAAAGAAAAAGAAATGCTTCTTCACCATTGAACTTTGCAAGGAGGATTCGGCATTGATTATTTACAGACAAGCTGTATCTTAAGATCTCGTTCTCCACATTGGAGCTCTCATTGCTTTGAATTGCAGACTTGGTTTTGCACTAGCATGTCTTATTCTCCTCCTGCATATCTGAAAATTTAGAGAAAGAATTGTCGTTTTTGTACGACGTCACGATGATTATCCTCTTGAATCAAGATTATTGGGAATGATATGGGGGAAATGATAAAGAATTCTTGTCATTTCTCACTTAAAAAAAGGATAAGAATTATTATTTATTAATTTGATCACTAAAAATTCTATATTTAGACACATTTGTTTCTATATTTAGTAAAAATGTTCTGTTTTTTATCGTAACTATTTTTGTAATTATAACCCTTTTAGTGTCAAGTAATGGTAAAATACAATTTTTTATCTTAATCTCATATTTATTTTCCAATAATTATCCTAAACTCAATATGTTACTTTTAATCGTTGGTATATAATAGACATTATCAATAAATTGATAACTTTTATCTGTCAAATTAATCAAAATCATATACTTTTTTTTTATGACAATCTTTGAATGATCCTCAAATGTGACATTACCTTTAATTTTTTTATCAAATTCCATGAACTTATCTTTGGCTTCACACATATAATTG